ATCAATAGTCTGTGGTGTCTTATCGTCTCATGTTGGTGATAATGATATGAATGTAATTAAGCTAAATGCCAATGAGAAATGCCCAAAAAAAAAAAAAAAAAAAAGGTGGTGATTTACTTGTTCATAGACTGTTCACGAATCAATGTGATTCAATGTACTGTGGACCTTCATTCATTTACACTATTTGGTCTTTTTTTTGCCTTTTCAGCCATTGATTGCTTTTTACAGTCACTTCTCGCCGTTGGATGTGTTACTGATTGATGGCGCATTTTTTCGGTCCTCTGTTTGTTTTGCTTTCACTTTTGATCCTCCTGAGTCTTTTTTTTTACTTACATATTTTTTTATTTATCTTTTTTGTATTAAGTGACCATGTGATTACATTTTCACCTTTTTTTTTTTTTTCCTTCACTTTGCACTTCCATGCTTTTTTCAGATTAAGGATTAATGCCAAAAATTACCCCTCGAGTAATTAAGTCATGGCAATTTAAAACTTCTTCTATCAACTTAGGCTACTTGGAACCTAAATTATTATTTTTTTAGGTAGATAATATCCTTCTTTCATTATCTATAACACTTCAATTGTTGACTATTAACTGGAATAAAATTTTTATGGCAAAATTTATCCCAAACTATTAAAGTTGTTGCAAAATAAGGTATATATATCTTCAATTTGAACTATTTGAATTCCAAATTATTAATTTTTTTTATAAATTTTATCATTCTCTAACATTTTTAACAATTAAAGTGTTGGTCATTAACTGAAATGCCTATTTAAGCATTTTAAATTATTATAAGTTAAAATTATTTAATTTTTTTTAACTAGATAGATCCATTACACAACATTAATTTCTAATACCAAAAGTAAAATCCATAAAAAAAAAAAAATCATCTAATCTACCTTAAAACTAGTTATTATTAATTTTTTTAAAATTAGATTTAATTCTTAAAAAAATTTAATCATTCATGTTTTTTTATAGATGGATCCATTACACATCATTAATTGTTCAATTATAAATTTAAAAATTTACAAACAACAAAATCATATTAATTTTCTTAAAATTAACTATTATTAAAAAAATTAAAATTTAGTTTAATTTTAAAAATGGAATGGTCAATATTTTGACTATAAAAATAATGAAGAAGGATAAAATTTATCCAAAAACTAATAGTTTAGAGTCCAAACAGTCTAAATTGATAACACGAACCTTAAATTGCCATAACTCAATAGTTTAAAAGTGGTTTTTACCATTAATAGCAGGCTAAGCTCTTTTATTGACAAATACTCTTAATTAGAGTAGAAAAACTGTTAATCTTTTTAATACAATCCAATTTTCTTTTGCTCTTTTGGTAGATAAATTAGATTGATTGAGTTTCATTTTTTTTCTTTCTAAATTTTACAGATTTTTTTTTTATATAAACAGATTGGTGAAGGAAAAGAAAACTACAAATACATAAAAAGGAAGAAAAAAGTCATTTTAGATTATTGTTTGGTTAAATACAAATGAATTTGTTGTAGGCTTTTTTTTTTTTTTTTATGCCACGAATTACCATTCATTGTCTAAAAAAATTCTAAAGTCTTGCATGTGCAAGCTTTTTTTTTTTTTCATTTTTTTTATTATAGATTATTGGGCAAAAATTATGGATGATTGATTATTAGTTTTAAGATTTGTCATCCGACTTGAAGATGAAAAAAAAAGTGATATGTTTTTATATTTTAAAATGAGCATATATTTTAGATTATATTACTCCGATTATTTAAAACTTATTCCTTCAATTTATCATTTTTTTTCTATAAAAATTCTCATCCAATTTATTTTTTTATTAAACTCTGTTTATGAAAAAATATGATTTTTTTTAAAAATCTATGTATGGATTTTTAAATAAAATTTTAGAATGTGTTATTTTCTCTTTTTTAAAATATAAATAATATAATTTGTATGATAGATTTTTAAAATTTTTGAATCATAGCTCTGTATGTGAGGCACTGGGCATGAGGACTAGCCATGTACGGCCTAGAAACTATATATATATAAGAAGACAAAAAGAAGAAGGATTTCATTTGTTTTATTTGTTACATCTCTATATAATCAAAATTTTTTGAAATCAATTTTGTAATAGTTTTTATTTTAATTTATTAATCTTAAATTTATTCAATATACTATTTACAAGTTAACCTTTTTTTTTTCATTTTATGTTGCAAACTCTAAAAACGATATACATTAAATTATTGGTTTTATTAAAAATTAGCTATACAACAACACAAAACACGGATCATTTATTACTTATTTATTTTTAGACATTTTGGAATCATTTTTTTTTTCAAATTGAATAATTAAAATTATGTTTTTGTTCAACCAAATAATTATTCAAATATATTTTTATTCTAATATTGTTGATAATTTTTATTAATAAATATATCAAATTCAAATGTATAAACTTTCAAAAACTAATCTTTTCATCAACATTAAATAAGAATAAAAAATAATTTTTTTATTTCTTTATTTTTTTTAAAACTTTTTACATCAATTATTATTTTATTTTATCTACACAATCTTATAAAAAATGGTATGATTTTTTTTTTTTTTTTTTTTTTTTTTTTTGGTATTGAGTTTTTTTTAATTATTATATGTTTTTAATTAAGAATTCATGGTTAGTTTTCTATTGATGCTGTTTGTTTTCTATGCAATTAAGAGGACATGGACCACATCTTCAATCTCTCAAACTTGCGCAAAGAGAATCATTCACGCGTTTATTAATAATAAGATTCAGTACAACGTAAGTCTATTATGCGTAAGGATTGCTTTACAGATACCATGACAATAAAAACACAGAAATTAAATGTACCAACTTATCTATATATGGATAAACTCTTCAAATTTATGTTTGGTTCACAAGAATTGACTTATAGTTGAAGGAGAGGGAATGATCACTTGCAGGTTTGAACTGTTTGTTATGAGAAGAGAATACATGAGTACCTGCAGGCTTGAATAGATGTTTGGTTTTATATGAATTGACTTATAGTTGAAGGAGAGACAATGAGTGTTTTGAGACGAAAAAGAAAGAGTACCAGTTTTGAATTGTTCGTTACGAAAAGAGCAGGAGTAGCACCATTCAAGCTTAGACGGTTGTTGACAGGAACATTTAATGTTGAATGAAAGAATGTATTTGACAGCGGTTGTTAACTCTGAACTCTGAAATGTAAATGGAAGTACAAACTAGATCTCAAATTAATGTAAAAATTACTTGAGAATGAGAATGTTGATACGAGTGAAAAGAATTTTAATGGATTAGACGAATGATATCGAATTTGAGTTTTTATATATATCAAAAACTTTTTAAATAATTATTTTCATTTTTATGCTTTGTACGTTTGACAGAATAATGAGATTAGTCTGAACTTTTGGATCTTTAGATCTAGATATCCTGGAGGATTGAAAAATGAAAAAAAATTAATGTAAAAATTGATTGAAAAGTTGCATATATTGTTATACTAACCATGAACTCCAGAACAATTTTTTTGACCATTTGTAATCAGTTCCATCGGTTTCTGGTAGCATAGACCTACGATTTTGAAATCATTATCTATTCAAGTTGAGCTGATTTGTACTAAATTGGTTTGTAAGTGAAAAAAAATCAAATTCTTATGGAAGACAACATCTCAAACAAATCCACACAATGCATTTTTTTTAAAGTATCTTTATTTTATATTAGAGATATGATTAATTTTACTGATAATATAAACAATAACATTTAATTTTTTTCAATAATTGCGATTATAAAATTTCAATTCTGTATAATGATAGAAAATCATCGAAAATCAGTTTACTTACGATTAGGTTAATAGCTTATTAATTAATATATCTACTATTTTATTACTATACTCATTTATAACATTATTTAAGTCCATGTGACTTCATTGGATTTTGTAGTAAAATGCTCAATCGATTCTTCGAAGCTAATATTTTGTATAACATAGGTAGTATATTCTTCAAATAATTTATAACGCTGACCAAGCCCATTTTGGTACAGTCACAGTCGAAGCTAGAGATATATATATAGTCATAACCAAAGCCACAATTAAAGATATAGTGACAATCTAATCTTTAATCCAAATTTACAGTGTTGGGATTGAAATTAACGCATGATATTGAAAGGTAAATATAGGAAAATGAAAAGGAATGCATACCTCATATTATCATCCAAGGCTTTAGATGGAGTAATAACTAATAAGATGTAAGTACCTCAGAATCATGGTCAGAAATTTGATTTTCATTTTTTCAGAAATATATAATCTTATTTAAATATTGTTATAAATTTTTATATTCAGTTTTTCGTAAGAATATATTTGTGTCTATTTACATGTTGTAGCTATTCGTAAGATTTGTGTGTCTGTTGGCACTCGAGTTGCAAAATAACTGTAATTTTATGATTTACTCTATTTTTCTTGTTACTTCTTGTTTCTTTGCTCTAATTCGATTTTTCAATTGGTGTTAATAATATGGTCATTGATTTATCACGAAAAAAGCTGGTTAATTTGATGCACCACAAAATTACTTCCGAAAGATAATTGATAGGTTTTTATAAATACATTGATGCAATCATCACCCACACACAATGTATCAGAATCTCCATCTCCTTCCTCTGTCCTTGTGGACAATGAGTTGGCCTCTCATGTTCTATTTCAATTAGCAGTCGTGATGATTTGCTAAGTGCTTACCTGAGGTATTATCTAATTTGTATTTGAAGAGTTTCTTGATATAAAAAAGAAAGAAAAAGAAAAAGAAAAAAACAATAACATCAATCATAGTTTTAAATCGTGGACGATTGAAAAAACGATCGCTATTGCTATCGCGAATCATAATTTATTATAATATTAAGATAACGATAACGGTATATTTTAAAATCATTATATAACAATCGTTATATAATTTAACCGCAGGTATCTAAAACTATGACACCAACAACAACTGGTGTATTATTATTCCACATGCATGATAAGCTCAGCAAACAGGACACGCAGCTCTTCCTAGGCATGAAGATTCTTCTTCTAAAATCTGTATGACAGAAGAGAATGGGGGCTTTTGGTTCGGTTCTTTGCTTGTGCAAAGCTCCATTAACCTGCAAGTGATAACCATACATTAACCAAATTAACACTTGTAACATCCGAACAAAAGTAAAGAAGTTTAATTTGCCAAGATGCAATTACTGTCTACAACTGTAAAAATTTTCCTTGGTCTTTGTTTCTGACAAGCTTTCGCCATCAAATTAATTAGATGAACTCTTGGACATCTCAATTTACTGTTCTGTGCTTCACTATTTGTTGAAATTGAGTAGAATATCCCTCTATGTATCTTATCTTATCTTAAAACATTTGTTTGTCAATTAGAATGTGGATTAAACATACGCAAGTGCATGACAGACACATCGATGAAATTTTCAAAGATTTGGTAGCAAACAATACTTCCGTTCTTCCAAGCAAAATTTTCTTTTTTCATAAGGCTTTATCTTTTTTTTCACAAAGTAGAAGAAAATCGAAATCATTCACGAAACAAATATTGTGACAAAGTAAAAATTCACTTACTGTTGAATTCTTATAGGACAGTACCGGCTTATCTGGATCTTTGGTTCAAAATCAGCAGAACCATCACAGTTGTTGTTGCTATGCATATGTCTTCCTTCTAGCATCTGCGGTGCAATAAAATTACGTATTATAATGGAAATTCTTTTCATCAGTGGAAAATGAAATTTGCAAGGAGGTCAGATACGTTAACATGCTTGAAAGGTAAGTGATACTTGCAGGAATCCCATATCTTGTCGGTAACGCAACAATAACATTTGTATTTCATTTCATTTTTCTTTTTTGTATATTTCTCAATAGATAGTCTGTAATCTCTAATCCAATTTTCTGATGTATGATTGCTGAACACTTTGCAAGATAACCATGATATTATTTATTTTGACTATCCAATAATGGAATCAATTCTGCAACTAAGTAGCATATTCCAGCATATATCGATATCTACCCGATAAAGTATTAATCCAAAAGAGTGAATATCTTTCTCGGTGACGTTCGATTGGTTGCTAGACATGACGGAACGATCATTTCTTTGACCTATGAAACGAAGAGATTGTTAAGAAGTGGTACATATACATCGGAAATTAATGGTAAGAGCTTGAAAGGGCCAGGAAAAGAAATGACAGGATGGAGAGAACATACGATTGTCGTGATTGGGGTGGATTTGTTCATACAACATTTGAACCCAGTACTCGCCGATCTTCAAGTGGCCACCTTCATCTTGTAACAAGTTTCTGCATGGGAAAGAGAGACGCCTCATAAAATCATCCAAGTCTTGAGAATGTGCCAATTTGAAAATGTGGAAGTTGAGGATGGCACTTGCCTAGGACTCAAATGGTTGTGAACTATGGGCAAGGGCTTGTGCTCATGGAGATAATTCATTCCCCTGCAATCATTGCAGATCAAAGCAAAGAGAACATTAGTCATCAAATAGAACATTCTCTCTACAAGCATTTTTACCTCTTTTAAAGTGGATTTGAGAAGTGGATAGAAGCCGAATTTGTACGTTCAGCATAATTTATGCAGAAAATCAGCAGGAAGATTTGTTCAAGAAAACTTAGGCAACAGAACTTCTTTGCAACTTATAATTTATATAGTGAAATAATGCGTACTCTGACACATGTAATAGTTGTATGTATGCATGAAATAGGTCATAATTTCCTGCATTCGATTACTTTAACATGAATCAGAGCTGCAAAAATCACATTACCTTGCGATATCCAGAGCATAGCGCAGAGCAGTAGGTACGTCAAGCCGAACTTTTCTGGTCAAGATTTCATCCAAATTCCCCTACGTATATAAGAAGGAAAAAAAAGAGAAGAATATAGCAAAGAAAGATATGTTAATCACCATAAATGTCCCCTTATTTCCCAATCAGCTTCATTCTGATTCTGCAACACTCACTGCCTATGTCTATTGTTCATGAAGCTATAGTCCATTACTTTCTGCATGGACACCACTATTCACTTTTACCATATGCCTTAACCAGAGTTTAAAAATCTTATGTAAATACATACTTTAGGCAGATGCTCTGTGATCAGAATCATCTCTTCCCGATGAACAATTGAACCAAGAAACTGCAAAATATTTGGATGTCGAAGTTGCCGTAAGAGAGTATTATCCTTGGCAGATAAGATCCTGCATCATGCTCCAAGTGGGATTTATTCAGAATCTAGAATAGTCCAATTGTTTCCTTGGGCACAGTGGACAAATGAAAAGTGAATTAAGCAGAAATCAAGAAGAGAGGAAGAAACAACACACATTTTTACAGGACGGTATATCTGACTCTTAATTACTGTTTTAATAACCCATGTTCCACGCCACTTGACCTTGACTGATTCACCAAAAACACCCTGAAAATTATCAGAAGAATTTGGTGACCAGTTAATAAAAGTAAAGACATAGGCAATGCTTTGGGAGTAAAGCTATGGAGCACAGATGTCACTATGTGAGATCACTAGCACTATACTATCTCCTTATCTTCATCAACCTGAAGAAACGTAACCTAAATTCATTTATAGTACAAGTTCTTCACTGAAGTAAAAGCACTTCTTTTTCCACAAGGAAACAGAACAACTAACCTAATTGGTCAGTCCAAATTATTGAAGATAACTTAAGGTTTTAGCATCAAACAATCTTCTATACTGTCTACCTGTTCAACTGTTGATGAGTGTTCTGTGTTCAATTCTGAAATATCAAAGTTCATCTCAGTGCAGTCTTGTTCATGTCGAACTGTCTGCATAACAAAGCACAAAGTCAGAAACGAAATGTGTTACATAACATGAACTTCCATTATGCTATTTTTACTTTAATTTGAGCAATAGCAGTTCAACGCATTTGAAGAGATCAAGTTTCAATTAGAAGTAGATTGGAAACTAGCTTCTAAGTATAATAGGCTTTAACTAATATAGATTTGGAAATGGTTGAAGAGAATCATCACTTTTCAAAGAATCCCATTTGCTATTAATAAATTGCCTCAGAATAATTTGAATATTTTGATCAAATTACTTGAATCTTTTCTATACTGAAAATCCACACCCTATTATCCCTCTCTTACTGTCACTCATAGTATTAAGTTGCGACCGATTGAAAAAACAGTTGCGGTTGTTATTGTGGATTGTAGCTTACTATAATACTAAAATAATGATAACGGGATGCTTTAAAACTGTTATATAACGGTCGTTACATTATATAACGTAACGACAGTTATTTAAAACTACACTGTCATTCCCCAATACATATAGAAATTAAGTAAGATGATTCAATTACCATTGGTTGATCATTGATAAAATCCTTTCCTCCATTAACTTCCAGGATCCTACATATATCTCGATACCCGTAGAGTCTTGCATCTGTCAAGGGCTTGATATTACAATAAAGAGAGAGTATCAATCAAGGTTGTCAAAATTATTTTTCTACCTATGATTGGCGGTTTATGTTTGAACTTATATTGAATCAACTGGGTTAGCTTAGCGCACCAAATTAATATATGAATAGAAACAATTTTCTTCAGTGAATTCAACTTGTCATAAAGACCTAAAAATAGAAACAGGAAGGAGAGGCATATATATATATATATTGGGGTTCTTACAGTTCTTTGCCAGCGGTCTTTGAGATTAACATTGGCCCTGTAGTGCAAAAGGAGTTCAACAATAGGAGCATGGCCTTCACTGGCTGCAAGATGCAATGCAGTCCTCTTGTCATAGTCTTGTACATTAGGAGATATGCCATCTCTCAACATCTGGTTAAGTCCAACTCTGTCACCTCTAGATGCAAAACTCAAGAAATTCCCTATAAGTTGCATGTCAAAATCATCTGAATAGTTGTCCTCTTGCATCTGATCCATCATCTTGATCTTTAACTATATAACCTGCAAACCATAAAACAAAATAAATGAAAGATGTTGAAACAGAGCATGAGACTGAAAATTTTATTTATTTATTTTTGTTTTTTTGAACATGGGTTCATGAGGTATCAAAGTGAGAATGAGTTCATCAAATACCGAATTGATAAAAATACTGTTGGGTTTGGTAATTGAGAGGGTTGAAAGGAGAAGGACATTTGAAATGAGAGGGAAGATATGAGGATGATATGAGAAGAGACCTTTTCTTGGTGCCAACATGGCAACATGGGCTGTTATTCCTATGAGAAGAACATTTGGTTTGAACGACCAATTTTTTTGTTTTTAGTTTCTTTGTTCTCTTTCGAAAAAAAAAAAAAAAAGAAAGCTAATTTTAAATCGGTATTTTGGCTATAAATTTTTTTTTCTATTGAATATTCTTAAACGTGATTTAAAAAAAAATAAAAACCCAATTTTAGGATTGTTTTATTTTACTAATAAAGAAATTCCTCATCTAGCTTTTATATCCAAATATCTTTCATTCTCTCTGTCCATCTCTCCAGAGGTGTGTTCACTAATAAAGAAGTGCCATCTATACAAAAATTAATTTTCTGCATATCAACTTAGAAATGATGCTAGACCTCCAAATAACGTATATGTATATAATTTAAGCCGGCTAATCTTTATAATTTCATATTTCCTTTTGATTTTTTATTTACATTGCCCAATTTTTTATTTTATTTTAAAAATCCAAAAAAAAAAAGTGTAAATTTTGATTAAAGAAAGTTTTTCTAACTTTTCTTTATTTATGCTCACTATTTTTTTAAAACTATATTATTTATTCCAGCTATTTTTTATTTTAAAAATCCAAAATATCAAAAAAATTATATAAAAAATTAAAATCTATTTAAGATAAATCAAAATTATCATGAAAAATAAAAATAAAAATTCAGGTATGATGAAAACTTACATTTCTTTTCTAACTTGATTTTAGTGTGTGTGTATATATATATATATATATATATATATATATATATATATATATATAATACCTCATAATTGCTACAATATTAGCTAACTAATTTGTTGTGTAGTGAAATTTTTTTATTTAAAATTGATAAAAAAAATAAATGGATAAAAAACCAGCATAAATAAATAAAATAAAATAATTAGTTAGCCTAAATACAAAATTCGAAAAAATAGTCAATATAAATAAATAAAAATTAGCCAAAAATATTTAATAATTTATTTGAATTTATTTATTTTTATAAAGGAAAGATCTCGAACTCGACGCTGATGTCAACTGGTCAGGTACAATTCATCGGCTATTTATTTATTTATTTTTGTATTGAACTATTCTTTTTCTAAATTTGCATTAAAATAGAATAAAAATGGACACGTATTCCTTCCATCCCTTCAAGATCAAAATAAAAAATTGGATTCACTCTAAATGGAGGGACAAATGGTGCTCAAACATTCTAAGTTCAAAAAATTAATAATCCATATTGGAATTGCAGGACTGTATTTGTGAGAATCGATTCTGCATAAATCTTTGATGTTGTCTTGTTGGGTCTGTTTTTCAGTGTTAGAGACTTAGAGTTTCTCTCTTGTTCTTTCGTTGTTGGGTCAGGTATACCTCAAAATGGGCTTTAAAACGTGGGCGTGATATTGCTGTTCTAGGTTAATTGGTTTTTTAATTTATTTTTATATTTCTAGTTAAGTCAAATTTTATTTTCAAATATATGTTAGTTTTTTAATATATTTTTTTTGACAAGATTTTAAGACTAAAGCATCAGATTTAGTCACATGATTTACATATGATTATTGTTTAATTCTGAATGTTGTTGCAAGCCAAACAAATAAAAGGTTTTCATTCACAAACTAACTAATTTCATTAATTTGGCTTGAAAATATTGCTAAAAATATTAGATTAAAAATTTAAAATAAATTTGATTCAATTATAAATATAAAAATAGGTTAAATTATTATATAAGGACATATAGAGCCATTCATCTTTTTTTTTTTTTTTTTGAAATCTTGGTAATATAAGGACATAAACCTCAATCCCAAATTATATATATATGATCTACTTCTTTTACATATAGAGATTAAACCTAAACTAATACAATTGATCATTCAGTAATGATTTTCGAAAAAAAAAAAATACAATCAAGCATTATTTTGGAAATGAGAATATTGATGATCTTATTTGACTACACATCTCCAACAACAAACTTACAGATAATTTCTTCATTTTTGTTGATGAAAATTATTAACATACTAATTTTTACCCACTTATTTTTTTAAAATTTGTGAGTTAAAAAAATACAAAAAAAAAAAAGAGAAAAAAGAAAAGAAAAAGAGTCATTTGGAAAAAAAATAATTTTTGGGTAAAATTAAAGAAAATTAAAAGAATAGGTCTTGATTAATTTCAATTGAGGGGTGTAATTGAAATGCAAGTAAATAAAATTTGTATCAAAATTGACTAATGCGAAGAAACCAAGGACTAGAATTGATATTTACCAAACCCTAATTTCCCCCTATAACTACCCTAAACCAAACGACCCCTAAAAAAGGAGGATCCAGCAGACCTAGATAGTTGAACTATTTACCAGTCAAACCTGTTTCAATTTTCTTCTCATAAATCGATTGATTTATGGCCAAATCGAACTCCCACAACTAGCCAGAATTGTTCCCCGTTTGAAGCTGATTGAAACCCCTAAAAAATTGGCCAAAAAAACACGTGAAATCACTGAAATTTGAAAAGAAGAAGTCTGACCGGCCTTGTTTTCTTCTCTCTTAGATTTGGCCATTTTTTGGCCAAATTAAGAGTTGCCACCACACAAAAGGCTTCCTTAAGCCTCCAACAACAATTCCCATATTGCAATTATGGAAGAAAATACCTAAATCGATGACGATTGAGCAACGAGTCCAATCTCGACTCGTTTAACATAACCCATCCAAATATTCAATCTCCGACTAAATTGGACCTCCTAACCATCATAGAAATACTCCCCATGATCTTTTGATTTGATTGGTGTCTTTCTCTTGTCTCGTTGTGGATGGAAACATGGTCGATGGAAGAAAGAGAAAATGGTAATCATCGATTGGTATCGATCTCCCTCCTCTAGTCATCGTGAGTGACATCGCCTCCACCGGATGATAGAGGAGACTCATCCTACCCTTCTTGACCAGTCATGTGCTTGCAAGTGGTCGGAAAGTGGCTATGGTTGGTGGTAGTAGTTGCTAGGGTTTTAGGGGTATTTTGATAATTTTACCCTATGGGCATTTTAGTCATTTCATATATAATCGAGGTATTTTATTTATTTAACAACATCATCTTCAAGCTTCAATGGGAAGCTGCTCTCCTTCTTTGACTAACTAAATAATTAATTCTCTTTGGGGATGAAGAGAATAAAACTAACCCTAAATTAGATTTCAAACAAATTCAACACTTCCCGATAGCTATTTGGATAACTTCTAATATTTATACCCATTAAATATTTCATTAAATTGATATGAATGACATGTCTTAATGAAAAAAAAATAAAAAATACATGCCAATTGAAATTTGAAGTATGATAAGATACACCATTGTGTATCATGCCCAAAAAAGGTTGGAGACCCTGGACATTTTGAGGAAAAATAAGATACATTAATCAATGCTCTGCGATAGACTTGAGAGGATGAGTTTGGAATTTAATTTCATTACTGAATCCAAAACAAATGCTGATCCTAATGTTTGTATTTGAAAGTGACGTTGTGCTTGTGTTGTGATGTGCCTAAATGTATAATAAATAAGAGGTAGATAGATGTGGGTACGGTATGAGTCTGGTAAAGATTTACAGGGTATTTTGTAATAGATAAAGGATACTATATTTTTTTATGAATTAGGTAAAAAATTGAATTAATGAACTGCATATACTCGCTATTGTAATTCTTATTCTGGGTCAAAGTTTAAGAAGAAGAAAACTAGAATGGGTATGGGCTAGTTTTCGTTGTTCTTGTAATATATAGGTACCCCGGGCCCATGCTTAAGTTCAGAACTTCAAATAGTTCGCATAATATAATGGCGGAAATCATTCTAATTAATTAGTATGTGGTTTTATTAATTAATTAATGACTTGCATATCTTCAGCGCACGAGCATGGAATCAGGGTATTTCTGTTCTAATGGAGTTTTTCAGAATTAAGTTGCGCATGCATGGTATAAATGGCATTAAATCAAAAGTCATATTCTTTTTCAGTAATTTCCACTATACTTTTTGCTGCATATATTAAGACGCAGTCCCACCATTTGCTGTACAAGCCTTGTATATTGGCTAGTGAAATATATAGTTGAAGAAGCAAATTTTATTTAGAGAAGAGAAATTTGTTGAAAATAATGGAGGGGCAGAGGCGTAAAAGGATTGAGAAGGAGTTGAAAGACATTACAGAGGACAGTTCACCAAAATATTTCAGTGCAGGTAAGGAGAAGAAGTACGAATGGGAAGCCACAATTTATGGGTCACCAGACAACCTATATGAAGGGGGTCTGTTTTAGGTGGGTGTTGAATTCCCAGGAGAGTATCCATGTAAGCCACCCGTGCTAACCTTCTTAAAGCAAGTCTACCACCCCAACATCAATCAAGCAACTTTCCTTTTGAAATGGACATTTAGTTGTTAAGAAACCAACATAATAAGGCATGCAGCTGTTTCTTTATTATTTGAGCTAATATTTGTTTGTATCAAAAGAGCTGTACAGGTAATTTGTTGAATGAAGGCTAGACCAATCATGCCTGGGCAAAGAAAGGAATCAAAATCGTTTCTTTTGGCAAATTAAGCAAGGAAGTAATTTTCTTTAGACAAGTAGAGGTAACGGGAGGCATACACAAAACGTTCCTGTGGGAAAAAAATGGAATGATGTTTTAACTAGATGTGTGACACAAGTGAATGCCGTTTTAAAGAAAGGAAACATAACTTCTTCTTTAGCAAAGCAAAGATGAAAGTACTATCAACAATTTTTCTTTAGACAAAGCGATGAAAAGGAAAGCATTAAATCATTTCTTCAGACAAGTGTAGGAATCTTTGTTCCGACAAGAACTTGGAAGGTGAGAAATAAGACAAGACAAAAAATGACATTCAAAAGGAAATGGTCACCGGAAAATCAAAAGTGACCCCATCTTGCTGTCATGTGCAGGAACAAATATCCTAAAACATCAAGGACTCCTTGCCAAAGTGAACCAGGCGTGGTTGTCTAAAATACTGGGGGGAGGAGGAGGGGTTGTGTGGAGGGGGACAACAAGCAAGTTATGAGCATGGAACCATGTTCCAAATGTAATTGGAATTAAAGAGAGCCCAAATGGTATAAAGTGCAGGCTTGTTGCACGTTTGCAAAAGAAAGCATGTACACTTAAGATATAAAAACAATAAACTTTGTTTTAACACAAGAGAATGAATTCCATGTTTGAATTAATTAAGGAGTTAATTTGTTTGTTATGAAAAGAAAATAAATACCATGTTAAATTTAGACCTTGTTGACCGGTAGGTTTTATATGTGTTCTTTCCATCAAGGAGATCCATTTGAAGGTAAAATATTGCCAGTTCAGTGCCCTAAGAACCATAGATCTGGCGGCTGTCTGGCTATGATTTCACTCATCATTGTGATCTATGGAGCAGCCCCCAATTTGTCGTTGTTGTTTTGACGTTTTCAAGTTCTAAGAAACTTCAATTTTGCTTTCTCCTGCATTTTGTTGACAACAATTTAGAGTGAAACTATGGGAAGACCGACTCTTTAAGCCAAAAACAGTGTTAGGATTGGAAAGAAAACATGATATGGAAGAGTAAACAAGAAAGGAAAAAAAGGAAGTAACACAGACACAAAGTTTAATGTGATTGGAATAATCCTTAATCCAAAGGCAGAGATATATAGACAGAAAAAATTCAATATCAATAGAAGTAATACAATTTGGAGAAATGCTTAATCCTAATGTCAAGCACCCTTAATTTTCATGCATGTGCTATATTTTATGTATTGTGTCATATCTACAGAGAGATAGAAATACAACACATATGTTTACATTTGTCGATTTTGAATTTTGTGAGTTGATAATATTTGTTATTAAATGAATGAACAAAGTTTATAGATTGATTGTAAATTATTTTGTGTTGATTAATTTGTTTTAAAATATTTTACGCAAAACAAGTAAAATTTTTTTAGAAAATTGCAAAATATTTTATGCAAAACAAACACCCTTTAACATTTTTACTATTTAACATGGCATAAAAAAAAGGGAAAACGAAAAGAAATCAGAGAGAACATATATATAATAATAATAATAATAATAATAATAATAATAATTGTTAGGTTTTATTATCAAAATACACTAAGTAAGAGTTTGCAAAAGCATATAAACAGAAAACGTTTATCCTGAAAAGCTAATTAGAGAAAACTAAAGGAAAAACAAAGAGCCAACCAATTTGATCTTTGAACTTAACTCATTTGCAGCATGAAATTTCAGATTTCCTTGGTAGCACCACAAAAAAAAAAAAAAAAAAAACAAGTAATTTCTATCCTCAATTTCATTTTGGTAATAAAACACAATTTGAATCAATCATCTTTCATCTTTCCCATCTTAATTTGTCTATAATTTCTTTGGTGGTTAGCCTATTTTACACAGCTAACCAAGAAATAAAACTACATTTGGGGATACGAAGGGGACCACAAATCAATTTAAATCATTCAACTCTAACACCTTATATCCTATCAAAATCCCACATATATACCTTACCTAAAAAATATTCCATCACGTCTTAGTTTGTAGATGTTAGAGAACATATATTAAATAATTAAATAATAACTAATCAATATATAGGGTTGAAAAAGGGCCACTAATTTAAAAATTAAATCTTTTAGATAAAATTCAATTTCAAATATCTAATTTTATATGATATTAGAATTTTAAAAAAACTCAACGGTCTAACAAAGATCCGGAATCTAAGCCATTTGACAAAATTTAAAAAATATACTACAAGTAAGGAGTGTTAGAAAACATATATCGAATAACTAAACAATAGATAATCAATATATAAAACGAAGAAAAAATCATCCACCTAAAGATTTAAGTTTTTTAGATGAAATTAAATTTTAACTATATAACTCTACAATAGATTATGTTATCTTTATTAATTAGATGGAGATTGAGAAATAATATTGCATATAGCATCTTAAATATCAACCAACACATCAGACCTAACACAAGGCCAAATTCATTGATAATTGTAAGTTACTGTAAAAACCCTTGCATCAGAGATCATATTGGAGTAATAGATAATATCGGTACCAAAAGTCTTTGCCAGCAGAATAAAGGATGCCAATTATGGCACCAATGATAGGTCTTCATGCCATTTCCAACTACATTTGCCGAATTAATCGAGCCTTACTAGGATAATTCTGTATCAACCTGGTTCATTAATTTTCACTCAAAACTAGAATTTAGAATCTTTTTATTCTAATTTCTATAGAGAAATTAAAGTTGACAAAAGAGTTCCATTCATTGCAATTTAATTTTCAATGTCTTACAACTAACATTAGTTAGTTTAAGCAGAAAACTAAAATTGCAGTAATATTCAAAATCATTTTCACTAGCGACATCTCAATATATAATAGTTCAAAAAGACCAACAAGTTATTGATCGGTAATAAGCTAACTGATCTTCGAGATAAAATTTTTATCAGAATTTAAATTTTAAAATTGTACTCGTTGAAAAAGAATATACCTTATCGCTCTTATTTTGAATAAAATTAATTTTATCTTTAATATTAAATGAAGATATTTGAAATAAAATAAAATAAATAAATAATAGATGAAGGCAATTTTAGCATTTACAGTTACGCAAATAAACCATCAGAGCACACCACGGCAGAAGTCTCCAAAAACAGAAATTCTTAATGCGTGGACGAAAATTCCCGAAAAGATGACAGAATCCCCACCAAATTAATCAACACATCTGGGCATTTTACAAGTTTAGGCATCTATGTTCTGACAAGAACTTGGCAGGTGAGAAATAAGACAAGAGGGAGGTACAAAAATGACATTCAAAAGGAAATGGTCACCGGAAAACCAAAACTGACCCTATCTTGCTGTCATGAGCAGGAACAAATATCCTAAAACATCAAGGACTCCTTGCAAAAGTGCACCATGCATGGTTATCAAAATACTATCATTTAGTCTCTATCTATTTTAGGTTAAAAGATGACAGTACTGCATCTAAAAACAAATCATAAGTCATACAGCAATGGACAGAGAGAGAGAGGGGGGGGGGGGGGGAGGTGGGGGTGTGGGGCGAGGAGGGGGAGGAGAGATTGAGAACAAGCAAGTTATGAGCATGGAACCATGCTCCAAATGTACTTGGAATTAAAGAGAGCTCATATGGTATAAAGCGCAGGCTTTTTCCACGTTTGCAAAAGACAGCATGTATACTTAATTAATTAAGATATAAAAACAATAAACTTTGTTTAACCCAGGAGAATGAATTCCACTCTTGAATTAATTAAGGAGCTTGTTTGTTATGAGAAGAAAATAAATACCACGTTGAATTTTAGACCGTTGTTGCCCGGTAGGTTTTATATATGTTTTATCCATCAAGGAGATCCATTTATAGGCGGTTTAAGGTAAAATATTGCCATTTCAGTGCCCTAACAACCATATTTCTGGCCGCTGTCTGGCTTTGATTTCACTTATCATCGTGATCTATGGAGCTGCCCCCAATTTTTTGTTGTTGTTGTTGTTTTTGACGTTTTCGAGTTCTAAGAAACTTCAATTTTGCTTTCTCGTGCACTAAGTTGACAACAATTTAGAGTGAAAGCTATAGGAAGACCGAATCTTTAAGCCAAAAACAGTGTTAGGATTGGAAAAAAAAATGATATGGAAAAGTAAACAAGAAAGGAAAAAAAAGGAAGTAACACAAACACAAAGTTTTATGAGATTGGACTAAGCCTTATCCAAAGGCAGAGATATATGGACAGAAAAAATTCAATATCAATAGAGGTGATACAATTTGGAGAAATGCTTAATCCTAATGTCAAGCACCCTTAATTTTCATGCATATGCTATGTATTATGTATTGTGTCATATCTAGAGAGAGATTGAAATACAACACATATGTTTACACTTGTCAATTTTGAATTTTGCGTGTTGATAATATTTGTTATTAAATGAACAAAGTTTATCGGTTGATTGTAAATTATTTTGAGTCGATTAATTTTTTTGTAAAATATTTTATGCAAAGCAAACACCCTTTAACATTTTTACTATTTAAGTCTTTTAGATTAATTTAAATTTTAGCTATCTAACTCTATAACAGATTATGTTATCATTATGATTTAGATGAAGATTGAGAGATAATATTACGTATAGCATCTTAAATATCAATCATCACAAATTCATTGATCACTGAAAGTTACTGTAAAAACCCTTGCATCAGATAACATACTAGAGTAATAGATAATTTCAGTACCATAAATCTTTGCCAGCAGAATAAAGGATGCCAATTATGGCACCAAAGATAGGTCTTCATGCCATTTCCAACTACATGTGCCAAATTAATGATCTTTGAGATTCTCTCTCAATTTCAAAGTCTTTTTCCATCACCAACTATAATCTCCAAAAATTTAAACATTCCACGTACTTCTATTTTTTAGTAACTTAGAGAGGATATTTATTAAGAATAAGATTTAGTACAAGAGAATAATATCGGTTACGGATACGGATTGCTTACAAATACCATAACAACAAAAACAAGGAAATTAAAGAAACCACTCATACAGGTCTTGGACGTGGCATGCAGGAATATAGCCCTGAACCAACTCGTTTGTCGATCACCTCCTCATATTTATTTAGTTTAATACGACTGATTTTACATACTGCTTCTCAACACCTTAAGGCCATCAGCAAACAGAGAATCAAATATCTCCATTTCATGTTTCTTCAAAACTAAGCCTATTTCAACTCCACCACTTCCATCTCTGCTTTCATTCATCCAAAAAGCGTCACCAACGTCTAGGGTTGTAATCTCCACATTTCTCGGCTTGCCCCACCCAAAATCTGCCCCATACATCCCAAATCTGTTTGACCCAGCAACCAGAATCACTCGAACACCTGCTTCCATATCCATATATGGAACCTTCTCCTTCGCTCCCTCTAGAACTGATCCATTTTCTAACCCTTTGATCATGTCACTAAGCCTCTTCACGGCGTATACAAACCCATTCTCTTTCAAGAGATGTTCCGCTTCCACAAGTACATCAGAAGAAGTAACACAGTTACCAAAATAATTTATAGATAATGGAGGGTCTAAACGGGTTCTACAGTCTGTTGTGAATCCAAATTTTACCTTATTATTATTTTTCAGGCCTTTTGCTTTAACCAGACAAACCATTGTATATGCATATGTAAGCACATAAGTTGACAAATGCAATGGTTTTGTTTGATTTCCGTTTTCTAATTTTGAGAGTACCCTTTCACCAAGCTTCTTTATTTCTTCACGAGAAAATTCGAACGTCCCTCGTACCGAATCAGATAGAACTGGAAACTGTATTGGCACCAAACTTCTGGGATTGGCATCTGAACCTGGCAATTTCAGTGCTAACCAATAGTTCAAATATCGCATGTCCAGCCCTTCTGGATCCTTAAATACAGTTCGATCAAAAGATGGGCTTAGTTCTTCTGGTAACAAACTAGGGCATATTTTCACATATTCATCTAAATTTCTGCATATGTGAGCCCATGCATTCATAAACAAAGATATGCTTCTACCATAAAAAACAGCATGGTTAATGGTGTAACTGATGGTAAAACCTTTGTTCGGAAATGAAGTGATTTGGAAAGCAACTGTGGATGACTTAGTATCAGATACGAATAAAGGTGCCACATACGTGTGACTCAGCACCATCGCGTACTTGGCTAAATACCACTGTAAGAGAAATACCATCTTGTGCAGTATTGTAAACGATGATGGGTTTTGCTGAATCCTGCGGCCAACTAACGTAGCCAGCAAGAGGAAGGAAATGGAAGAGAGTAATAGAAAGTGAGTGTTTGATTTTGGGAAGGATTACTGACTTAAAATATGTAGGGCTCGATTCTCTGAGTATGTAGAAGAAAATGCTTTGAACCGGAGGGAATTTGAGGTTGAAAATATCAGAGAACGTGAGAGGAAGAGATGGCTCAGTGGGAGTTGACTTAAGTGATTCTGAGAAGGGAGGAACATGGCAGACCTCGAGTATATTTGTTTGCTTTGATGATGCCATATGACTCTTATCAAAGTAGAAAGTAATTGAGAAAGAAAGAAGAAGCTGTTTGCAAATGCTTAGGAGTCTGAGAGGCTATAACCATGTTGCCCTAATATATATACTGTAATAACTCATGAATGGTGGTATATTAGTGGATATTTTACGAAAAGAAAATGATTAGTACCCCGTTGAATGTTAGACGGCCGTTTACTGGTAGATTTTATAGATGCTGTCACAGCCATCGTAAACAGCTCAATCATACGAAACTATCGACCGTAGTATTAGACGATGCGTCGTTCATTTTTTTGGCCAACCGATCTTGCTTCTACAGGCTTAGAGACGCAAGCCTGCATCTGCAGGCCTGGCTTTGTTTTTGTTTTTTTAGCAGTTTTTTTTATTGTTTTTTAATTATTGATTTTGTGCAAAATTTATGAAAAAAAATAATTTTTTTTTCATACAGCCTCAAGATGAAAAAATTTGATTTCTTTGATTTGTATTTGTTTTTTTTTTTTTTTTTTTGTTATTAAAATCTAAGACAATTTCTTCAATTTGTCATTTTTAATGGAAAAATTCAATTAATTTTTTATATAATTTTATTTGTTAAGAAAATATGATTTGTTTTCTCTATGTATGTATTTTTGAATAAAATTTTAGAATGTGATTTAAAAAAAATATTTTAAAATATTTTATATGTTGGATGTTTAGTGTGTGTGTATATATATCACGATTAGAAAATGTTTTTTTTTTCTCACTTTGCATATTTTAAAATTAATTTTTTAATATAATAATTAAAATATTTTTTTTTAAATAATCACCCAATGATTCAAATATAGTTTTGAATGCTAAATTATATATATATATATATATATATATATATATATATATATATATATATACAATTATACATGTTTTTAGAAAATAATCTTTTCATCAGCACTAAGCAAGAAGAAAAAATAATTTTTTTATTTGCTATTTTTTTTTAAACAAAAGAATTATATTAATTGTACCTTTACTTTTTTATACAACCTTATGGAAAAAAATATTTAGATTCTTTTAAAAATTTTGGATTCAATTTTCTTTTTAGATTATTGTAGGTTTTTATTTAAGAATTAATGCATATAAAATAACAAATCATATGTTTTCTTTTTTCAATTGAAAGTTTTTGGAAAACATAAGAATTAATCAATAAAATACAAGATTTTGATTAAAAATGTATCCGTAACATAACATAGGGTATTAAATTGAAATAATTTGATTATGCTCGATTCATAGCGTAACACGGATAACAAACTAGTTCTAGCTATATCTTTATAATATTTAATATATTATTTAAAATTTCTTTTATATATTATGCTTTGACACAACATATAGTGAGATATAAAAATTTTAATTTTAAAAATCCCTAAAAACAAGAATAATAGTAAAAGTTTACAAAATTCTCAAGTTTAACATTTATTAATTAATGATAATTGATAGTTAAAAGCAAATTTAGATTGTCCGTCCTAAAGAAAAAAGGATGAAATAAGAGAGCAATGAATTATCCTTAAATTAAAAAATAATCATAAACTAAATAAGAATAATGAAAAAGATAAATAGGAAGTTAAATTTCTCAACTACACAATCTATTATAGAATAATATAAATTATATCCTAGGGCCTTACTTAATAACTTAAGCTTTTTGATGAGATGATCATTTGACATGGTATTAGAGCCTTGATGACCGAACGGTTGCGAGTTCGAATCCTACCATCCCACTTTTTTTCAAATTAATTAAGCACAAGGCGAGTGTGAGCATGTACAAGTTTCAAGCTTAAAGGGCTTTCACTTGAAGGAGTGCGTTAGAGAATAATATAAATCATATCCCGAGACTTTACCTAATAGCTTAAGCTTTTGGGTGAGATGGTCCTTTGACATAATCTAGACTTTGTTATGTTGGTTTTGATCGCAAAAGAGTTGAAAAGCAGTGTCTTTAGAGTTGATTTTGAAGTCGAACATTTTTTAATTGTTGTATAATAATGCTATAGTTTATAGTTATAAAGTGACCAACTAATATATAAATTTAATGATGGCTTTTTTGCCTATATATACAAGAACATAATCATGTGTTTGGAAGAAGAGAATACATAATAAGATATTTATTTATCACATGGTGCGCGCCATTAAAACTTCTTTTGTATACTATATGTGTTATATTTTATATTGTGGTCCTTTTGGTAAACAATGTACTATATAAATCTTAGAGAGCCTCTTTCTTTATAAGATAAAGACTCATAAAGTAAAGGAAAAAATAACCGGATTACGGCATTTTTGAGATGACATACAATTTATGATTGATCTACTCGCATTATAAATTTTGTAAATGACGTGTATCATCCAAAAAAAAAAAAAAAAAAAGAGAAAAGAAAAACGACATGGTTTGGGCTTTAGTCTAATCATCTTCAACTTGTTCAATTATGCTAATATTGATGGTTTAACCTTCTATATTTTATGAAATTATGGTAATATGATATTAGTCCCTAATTCTCTTAATAATCAAGGTAAAAAGTTTGAATTTTTTTGTATCTATTTTAATTTACAATAAATTTATTGATTTGTTATGAAATTTTTGTTATTTAATTATGTTTCTTTTTACATGCTAGAAATAACAAGCTCTTTTAAAATAACGTTCTTTAAAAACTTTTTATAATTTTTTTAAAGCATATATATATATATATATATATAATTTTGTTGTAAGAATGTTTGATGTCTTTATTCAAAAATATATACATATAGAAAAAGAACTTTTTTTTTGTTTTTTTTTTATTGTGATTAAGAATGAAAAAATATATATCTTTTTATTTTAATTACATAAAATATTATAAATAGTAATATAATATTAGTTTTAATGTTTCATGTTTATTTTTTTTATTTAGTAATATTCATAATCGAAAAATCATAAAAAGCTCCATAGAAATATAAAATTTAATAAATAATTGAATATCATATGGTAATATTTATAATTCAATATTAAAAATTTTAAATATATTCTCTTATCAAAAATTGTATTATTTATACTATTTGTGAATTTATTTTGTCTAAAGGACTCTTTTGTTCAAATAAAATCCATATAT